TGAATAGACATATCAATTCATAGTATGTTAGAAAGCCTCAACCCCACTGAAACAAAAAGCAAAACGCTTTGCAAATGTTGCAATGTGCTAATGGAAAAGCATGAACAGATGTTTAGGGAAAGGCTGGTCAATGTGATGAGGACATCTGTGTTTGCTAATGCTGCTTATCAAAGTTAGGCTCCTATGCAGAGACAGAGACCAGGAGACAGTCCTGTGTCCTTCTTGATCATTGTAGTTCTAAGGGATGGCTCCCAGGTCTTTGAGAAAGACATTTCTGTGTTGTAGTAAATTTACACCTTAAAGGGGAAGAGAAAAGGTTTATAGTTGCAGGTTTTCTAAAGTTAAGGCTCTTAGAAATGGGAAGTCAGGGGCCTATAGTCAAGTTTTGGCTGGGACAAATAGTAAATTCTTTGAGCAGAATTGAATGTTCCTAGGCAGGTGCTTTAGAGGGGGCTGGGGCATCCTAGGGACATGGCTCCGAGCTGATAGGGGCCGTGTTGGAATTTGGCCAAGTCTCTTAGTGTATGTATGAAGAGGAGGAGTGTGCAGAAGAAGTTGTTTGTGCCAAGAATTTGTCATTTTCATGAGTTAAGACAGTGGTGTCTGGGGTCATCTGTCAAATGTTGATACAACGCTTGTTGATACAAATCCCAGAGCTAACAGAAGACAAGAAATAACCAAACTCAGAAGAGAGCTGAAGGAGACAGACGCATGAAAAACTCCTTTAAAAATCAACAAATCAAAGGGCTGGTTTTTTGAAAAAATCAATAAGATAGACCACTAGCTAGACTGATAAAACAAGAAAGAAGATTCAAATAAACACAATCATAAATGATAAGGGGGATACCACCACTGACCCCACAGAAATACAAACTACCATCAGAGGATACTATAAACCCCTCTATCCAAATGAACTAGAACATCTACATGAAATGGATAAATTCCTGGACGCATACACCCTCCCAAGACTGAACCAGGAAGAAGTTGCATCCCTGAATAGGCCAATTACAAGTTCTGAAATTGAGGTAGTAGTAAATAGCCTACCAACCAAATAAAAAAAAAAGGATTTACAGTTGAATTCTACCAGAAGTACAAAGAAAAGCTGGTACTTTTTCTTCTGAAACTATTCCAAACAATTGAAAAAGAGGGACTTCTCCCTAACCCACATTATGAGGCCCCGCATCATCCTGATACCAAAACCTGTAAAAGATTAAAAAAAAAGAGAGAGAAAGAAAAGAAAGAAAACTTTAGGCCAATATCCCTCATGAACATCGATGCAAAAATACTCAATAAAATACTGGCAAACTGAATCCAAAAAGCCTATCCACCATGATCAGGTCAGCTTAATCCCCAGCATGCAAGGCTGATTCAATATATGCAAACCAATAAATGTAATTCATCACATAAACAGAACTAAAGACAAAAAACATATTATTATCTCAATAGATGCTGAAAATGCCTTCAATAAAACTCAACAGCCCTTTATGTTAAAAACTCCCATTAAAATAATTTATTGAAGGAACATACCGCAAAATAATAAGCCATTTATGACCAACTCACAGCCAATATCATACTGAGTGGTCAAAAGCTGGAAGCATTCCCATTGAAAACTGGCACAAGACAAGGATGCCTTCTCTCATCACTCTTACTGAGCATAGTATTGAAAGTTCTGGCCAGGGAAATCAGGCAGAAGAAAGAAAGAAAGCATATTCAAATAGCAAGAAAGGAAGTCAAATTGTCTTTTTTTAAAGATGACATGATCCTATATCTAGAAAACTGATAAGCAACTTCAGCAAAGTCTCAGGATACAAAATCAATGTGCAAAAATCACAAGCATTCCTACAACAGACAAGCAGAGAGCCAAATCATGAATGAACTCCCATTTACAATTGCCACAAAAAGAATAAAATACCTAGGAAGACAGTTTACAATGGACATGAAGGACCTCTTCAAGGAGAGCTACAAAGCACTGCTCAAGGACATCAGAAACGACACAAACAGATGGAAAAACATGCCATGCTCATGGATAGGAAGAATCAATATCGTGAAGATGGCCATATTGCCCAAAGCAATGTACATATTCAATGCTATTCCCATTAATCTGCCATTGACATTATTCACAGAATTAGAAAGAACTATTTTAAAAGTCATACAAAACCAAAAAAAAAAAATGCTTGTATAACCAGGACAGTCCTAAGCAAAAAGAACAAAACTAAAGGCATCACGTTACCCTACTTCGCACTATACTACAAGCCTAACCAAAACAGCATAATATCAGTACAAAATCAGGCACACAGACCAATGGAACATAACAGAGAACTCAGAAAAAAACCCACACACTTACAACCATCTGATCTTTAACAAACCTGACAAAAATAAGCAATGGGGAAAGGATTCCCTATTTAATAAATGGTGCTGGAAGAAATGGCTAGTCATATGCAAAAAACTGAGGAACAACCCCTTCCTTACACTTTATAGAAAAATTAACTCAAGATGAATTATACTTAAAACCCAAAATTATAAAAATCCTAAAAGAAAATCTAGGCAATACCATTCAGGACATAGACAAGGGCAAAGACTTTATGATGAAAGTACCAAAAGCAATTGCAACAAAAGCAAAAAATTGACAAATAGGATCAAATTAAGGAGTTTCTGCACAGCAAAAGAAGCTATCATCAGGGCAGACAGACAAGCTACAGAATGGGAGAAAAATTTTGCAATCTATCTGACAAAGGTCTAAAATCCAGAATCTACAAGGAACTTAAGCAAATTTACAAGAAAAAAGCAACACCATTAAAAGATGGCAAAGGGCATGAACAGACACTTCTCAAAGGAGAGGCCAGGTGCAGTGGTTCATGCCTGTAGTTCCAGCACTTTGGTAGGCCAAGGTAGATGGATCACTTAAGGTCAGGTGTTTAAGATCAGCCTTGCCAACATGGTGAAACCCCATCTCTACTGAAAATACAAAAGTTAAGCCAAGCATGGTGGCTCATGCCTGTAATTCCAGCACTTTGGGAGGCCATGGTGAGCAGATCACAAGGTCAGATCAAGACCATCCTGGTCAATATGGTGAAACCCTGTTTTTACTAAAATACAAAAAATTAGCTGGGCATGGTGGCCCACACCTGTAGTCTCAGCTACTCGGGAAGCTGAGGCAGATTAATCACTTGAACCTGGGTGGCTGAGGGTGCAGTGAGCTGAGATTGTGCCACTGCACTCCAGCTTGGTGACAGAGAAAGACTCAGTCTCAAAAAAATAAAATTAGCTAGGCATGATGGCAGATACCTGTAATCCTAGCTACTCAGGAGGCTGAGGCAGGAGAATTGCTTGAACCCAGGAGGCAGAGGTTGCAGTGAGCCAAGGTCTCACCACTGCACTTTGGCCTGAGCAACAGAGCAAGACTCCATCTCTCTCTCTCTCTCTCTCTCTCTCTCTCTCTCACACACACACACACACACACACACACACAAAGATGCAGCTAACAAATATATTTTTAAAAGCTCACCATCACTGATGATTAGAGAAATGCAAATCCAAACCACAATGAGATACCATCTCACACCAGCCAGAATGGCAATTATTAAAAAGTCAAGAAACAATGGATACTGGTAAGGTTCTGGAGAAACAGGGATGCTTTTACACCATTGGTGGGAATGTAAATTAGTTCAGCACTGTGAAAGACAATGTGGCAATTCCTCAAAGATTTAGAACCAGAAATACCATTTGACCCAGCAATCCCATTACTGTGTATAATGGTACTTATACCATCATATTACATATATATAATTATATATATAATTATGTTATATATAAAATATGTAATTATATATTATATTATGACATATATTATATATAATATATATTACAGCTGATTAATATATTCTAGACAATGCATATAATATATGTTATATATTATATAATATACATATTTATTATATATGTTATATATTATATATGCATTAGCTAGAATAAATTAATCAGCTATAATATATATTATATATTACATTATATATTATATATTGTATATTAATATATATAATGGTATTAATATTATTATATATCTAAAGGAATATAAATCATTCTATTACAAAAATATATACACATGTATGTTCATTGCAGCACTGTTCACAACACCAAAGACATGGAATCAACCCAAATGCTCATCAATGGTAGACTGGATAAAGAAAATGTGGTATATATACACCATGGAATACCGTGCAGCCATGAAAAGGAATCAGATCATGTCTTTTTCAGACACGTAGATGAAGCTGGAAGCCACCATCCTCAGCAAACTAACACAGGGACAGAAAAGCAAATACAACATGTTCTCACTTATAAGTGGGAGCTGAACAACGAGACCATGTGGACACAGGGAGGAGAACAACAGGCACTGGCACCTGCTGGGGGAGGGCCGGTGGTAGGGAGAGCATCAGGAAAAATGGCTAATGCATGCCAAGTTTAATGCCTAGGTGATGGGCTGATAGATGCAGCAAACTACCATGGTACACATTTACCTGTGTAAGAAAACTGCGACACCCTGCACATGTACCCCAGGACTATAAAGAAAATAAACACATAAATAAAATTAAAAAAATTTTTTTAAATTATCTTAGTTGTATGTGGGTAGGTCCCTTTGATTGAAAGTGAAATGGAAATAATTTAAAAAAAAAACCTTACTGGCCGGGCGCGGGGTGGCTCAAGCCTGTAATCCCAGCACTTTGGGAGGCCGAGGCGGGTGGATCACGAGGTCAAGAGATCGAGACCATCCTGGTCAACATGGTGAAACCCCGTCTCTACTAAAAATACAAAAAATTAGCTGGGCATGGTGGTGCGTGCCTATAATCCCAGCTACTCAGGAGGCTGAGGCAGGAGAATTGCCTGAACCCAGGAGGCAGAGGTTGCGGTGAGCCGAGATCGTGCCATTGCACTCCAGCCTGGGTAACAAGAGTGAAACCGTCTCAAAAAAAAAAAAAAACAAAAAAAAAACCTTACTATTCAAAATTTACAAAACTAAAAAGAGTAAAACAAATTTACATTTTGTCCCTGGATCGATATAAGACAAAAACATTGTGTGGGAAAGCTGGAGTTGAGGATGAATGAGATTCTGAGAATAAAAATCCCCGGTACACAGTCAAAGTTTCAGAGTCAACTTCAGATTTTCAAGGATTATAAAATAGATAACCTCATACCACTGTCTCCAACAGATAAAAGGAACCAGATAATATCTGTGTTCCAGGGAGAAAGAACAGAAAATTGGCTGAGTTCTGTCACTGACAAAATTTGGTGGGAAGGAGGAATCTGGAAGATGGGAGGGTGGAGGGATCCCGGGGTTTCGGGGCGGGGAGGGGCTGTGCTTCAGCCTCCCCCCTCACTGCCCCTCCCCCATCAGGTTCCCTTTGTGATGTGAAGGCCCCAGCTATGTGACGCAGGCCTGGGCCCCAGTCCCTAGTCTCCAAGGGAATGCCCAGAGCTCAGTTGCTTGAAGGCAGCATACCTATTCAAATGGAGAATATTCCATTTCCTCTAAAATTTCTTAGTGATTCGTGGATAAACACCCCCAGCTCCACGCCATGGGTGTTGGATATCTTCCTCACCCTGGTATTTGCCGGGGGGTTCTTTTTCCTATTACTCCCCTACCTCTCTTACTTCCTTTGTGATCCACCCTCACCATCGCCTGGGAAGAAGAGAATGGTAAGGAGCCCTCAGGCCGGACACACACGATTCTCTCCTTTCTTTCTATTATTAGCTCTACTTTTCAAAATCCAGTGGAGAGACTTCTGCAATGGGAAGTGTCAGGAGAGACCAGAACATGGTCCTTCCAGGGAGAGGCAGAGCAGCCAGGGGTTGGTAGGGACTGGGATTTCCATCCCAAGCTCTCAGTCCATCTGTGGGGGAGCACAGGAGGCGTCAGGGCAAAACCAAACCCCCGGACTCAGTGGTGAGGACCAGTCAGGAGATGGGGGAGGTCTCTGTGGGAGGGCGCTCATAAGCGCCTTCCTTGGGCAGGTGGTTGGGGGCCCAGCCTCGTCTGTGATGACCTCGTCTGGGGTGATCTGGGGGCTGTGCTGAGCCCGACGGCCTCCCACCAGGGCCTGGAATCTCCTCTGATCTCCTGGGAAGCAGAATCCTACCTGACAGCTCAGGTGTGCCCACAGGCCTTAGCCTGGGTGTTCATGGAGTAGAGGAGCACCTCCACTGTTACTTACATTATATATTAATATATTATAGTTTATATATGAAATATATATAAAATATATATATATTTCCTCATATAGTAAATCCCTGTTGGTGGGGTGTTTTATTGTTTGTTTGTTTTTTGAGACAGAGTCTCACTCTTACCGCCCTGGTGGAGTGCAGTGGTGATCTCGGCTCACTGCAGCGTCTGCTTCCCAGGTTCAAGCAGTTCTCCTGCCTCAGCCTCTGGAGTAGCTGAGATTACAGGCACGCGCCACCACGCCCGGCTAATTTTTGTTATTTTTAGTGGAGACAGGGTTTCACTATGCTGGCCAGGCTGGTCTCAAACTTCTGATCTCAGATGATCCACCCTTCTTGGCTTCCCCAAACGATCAGATTACAGGCGTGAGCCACCGCGTCTGGCCCCTCTTCGTGTTTTTCTAAGAAGAAAAGTTTTTCATCCACTTAAACATGAGTGGGAGGAAGCACACTGCTCCCTGAGCAAGACGAGAGAGCTGTGCGGTTCGTGAGCGCTGCGCGCTGCGGCTGCGCTGGGGGCAGACAGCGAGAGCCAGTCTCAGCCCCTCGCCCTTTCTTGTCTCCTAGGGTCATCTTCTCTCCCAGGGTCATCTTCTCTCTCCGGGTCATCTTCTCTCCCAAGGTCATCTTCTGTCCCAGGGTCATCTTCTCTCCCAGGGTCATCTTCTGTCCCAGTGTCAACTTATCTCCCAGTGTCGAGGTCAGCGGAGGGGGAGGCCCAAAGGCAGGAAGAAAAACAACAGTCTGAAAGGTAAGGCTCTGCCGGGGCACACTTGAGTTCATTTGATCTCCTCTGTTCCCGGAGAGAGGTGACTCTGTCTGAGGAAGTCAATTGAAGAAGCCTGAGGTGGGGGCTCCTAGGAAGAAAATCAGGACCCTGGGTCCCCCTCTCAGGTTCTGTGCTGGCATGAAACCATGGTGGGCCAAGGACTGGGTGTTCCCCAGCAGGGCACAGCATAGGGGGAGGAGACCAATGCCTGTCTGAATCAGGAGGCGGGTGAGGGGGCTGTGGACAGCTGTTCAACTCTGCTAAGGCTGCTTCCTCTTTAAGACAACCCCAGTCCTTTCTCCCCACAGGGCAGCTGTGAGGACTATGGGGCTGGGGGGGGTCTGTGTGTGGAAGCCCTTTGTGGACAACAAAGCCTTGCCCTCCGTGCCTCGAGATCACCGTCCAGGCCATGTGGCCTTGGACACAGACATGTGGTTTCCAGGGTCTGATTCCCCATGTGGTCTTCCCTAAAGAAACATCCACTCAGCCTCCTGTGAGGTCCAGGCCTTCCCTCACTGCCCTAACCCAGTCTCCTGATTTCCAGCTTCTGGAGACCGCCTGACAGGCCTGGAGGGGACTCAGGACTTGTTTTCACAACTGCAGCGGTGAGGCACTTCCCCTTCCCTGTGTCCCTCCTACTGGGGCTAGGATTCGACCCCAGGGCCGTACAGCAGCCTGGAGCTGACCTGGGATGGGGAGACCAGGGTGACAGAAGATGGGAGTAAAACCCTGGAGCAAGGGGTAGGAGGAGAACTGGGGAGTCTGGGTGCAGCGCAGTGGAGGGGCATAGGAGGAGAATTGGGGAGTCAGGGTGTGGGCCGGTGGAGGGGCATAGGAGGATTGGGGAGTCTGGTTGTGGGGCAGTGGAGAGGCATAGGAGGAGAATTGGGAGTCTGGGTGTGGGGCGGTGGAGGGGCATAGGAGGAGAATTGGGGGTCTGGGTGTGGGACGGTGGAGAGGCATAGGAGGAGAATCGGGAGTCTGGGTGTGGGACGGTGGAGGGGCATAGGAGGAGAATTGGGGGTCTGGGTGTGGGGC